GTAACAATAGATGTGTTTTAACCCCAATAAATTATTTGCAGATTATTATTATTATTATTTTATTATTTATATAGCACCAACAAATTCCGTATAATGATATCACCTTGATATTTTATCCACTTCATCGGTTTAATAAAATAATTGGAATTTCTCCAATACCCATATAGTATGTACCCAATTCAATAAATAAGCATAAAACGGTGTATGGGATAAGGTGCATAAACAGTGCAGGTCAGCCTCCCTAAATCAGGAATCACTCCCAATTCCCACAGTACAGACAAAGAATATAAAATGTATAGTTTAAAAAAACATATACCAAGGGGGCGCCACAATCACAAAATGTGCATATATTTACCATATGTATATGGATATGGACATGAAAGATAGAATAAAAAGCATATATAGTGAAATATTTAATAACAACAAAGTGCAGAATAAAAATCACAATATACACTCACAAAAATGATGGCTCGACAGCTCTTGAAAAAGTCCGACGGACGAAACGCGTTGAGCGGAGGCTCGCCAGCACTTCCCTGAAAAAGACTTCACCCTCTCTCTGCCTGGGACTTTCCATCTAGGAGGCATTGATAGTGGACTTATAAAAGGGAACTTTACCCAGAATTGTTGAAAAGCTTTTTTGCACAAATTGAGATATATGTCTCTTTGTGCCATCATTTTTGTGAGTGTATATTGTGATTTTTATTCTGCACTTTGTTGTTATTAAATACCTCACTATATATGCTTTTTATTCTCTCTTTCATGTCCATCTCCATATACATATGGTAAATATATGCACGTTTTGTGATTGTGGCGCCCCCTGGGTATATGTTTTTTTAAACTATACATTTTATATTCTTTGTCTGTACACGATTCAACCTTATTATAAGTAATTAGCCATTCCTACAATATATGGGTATATGGGTATTGGATAATTACTTATGATAAGGTTGAATTGTGTACTACTAGCAAATACCAGCTAGCAGATCCCCTCTGTTTAAACACTCGGTAACTGCAAAACATTCTAATTTTGAATTAAGGGTTAGGCCCTGGGCCAAAATATCTAGTAGGTCCAACTGGTGTATTTTATTTCTCTTCGTTCTTTTTTTGGTTAAACAATTGGAATTCCCCCTAAAGGACATCAGCTATAAAAATATCGCACATTGAGGGGGGACAAATACTTTCTAGGATTTTTATATATCTCCTATTTTTAACAAATATGTGTTTCTAAGGTCTGAAAAAAATACAGATGGTTCTCACTTTGTGACCCACCTGCGTTACGACTGCTCGGAATTACGACCAGCTCTCTAGCATGGGGATTCGAGAGATTCCCCACATAAGAGAGCTGGTCTCTGTTCCGGGGAATTCCCCCGAACATTGACTTGCTCTCTAGCACATCCTCGCTTACAGACTGATTCGTTTTACAACCGGGTCGTAATAACGCAACCCGGTCGATAATTGAGGACTGTTTGTAGAACTAAATGCAAATATTCACACTGCTGCATTTAGCTATATCATAAAACAGCACGCCGCCATCTTGGATCCCTGCCAATCGTTCTAAGCTCTACTCTTTGCACCTTTTAGACAGCATAAAGAGAGCATATGGGGGGGGGTGGGGAGGCAGTTTCTCTGTTTCTCTGCAGTAAATGCAAGGCTGTGTCTTGTCCACTCTGGAGTATGATGTCAACAGTCATTTTCTACATCTTTAATATATATTTAAACGAAAAAAAAGGTTAACCTAACTGTGCATTGTTTTATTAACTGGTGCTATTTCCAGAGAAATCGGGGTTCTCCTTTAACACATAAATTTGTGTATTAGCATACCTGACCTGTGACGTTCAATTAACATCACAGAAACAAAAAAACAATTAACACAACACAACAAAGAAAACAAATGATACAGTTCATGACATATAAAAAGGTTCTGCAAAACAGATATATTACCATAATTGTCATCCAAACAAGCCGGGAATGATTCAAACTGTGTCACTGAGTTAGTTAGCGGGAGAACTGTACTTAGTTGAACATAAAATTTTAGGATTAGAAGACTTCTGTCATTTAGGTGTATCACGTTAAACCCACTGTCATTATAAATCCCGCTCCTTCCTTTTTAAAAGATGCTTCACCATATTAACTATAGATTGATCACAATATGGAAAGATTTGGATCATCTGAAGACAAAAATAATGTATCATATCATATCAATGTATCATATATGAAATCATCCTAGAATAATTGGATATCTTTGAAGGAAAAACATAAGTTTAAAAAACCCTTAAACCTTTCTTGCTCTATTTGAAAAATTCAGGGTGGCTCGAGGGGTGCGTTTTCAAACTTTATGTTTTTATACCCTATACCCTTGCTTAAAAAAACCTCAAATAACAAAATAACGAGAGTTAATAATTAGAACGAGAGCTATTAACCTCCTGTTATTTAAATGTGCAAATGTGATAGTGCGCAGGTAACTTTTTTTTTCTTTTGATCTGTGTATATGGGATTATGCGTGCTGTAGTCCGTGCTGCCTCGCAGGAGGAGTGAAAGTTTAAACGCAGGGCTTAATTGTGTGTATGTTTTCAGTCATATGGCTGCTCCAATTTTGCGGAAAAAAAGAAATAGATATAAAATCTTCCTTTCATGTTTGAAAGTCAGTCTTTATGAAATGACTGTAGTTAGAACCTGGGTGAAGAGAGACAGTGACTGGGGAGTGGGGACCTTTATGTGCCACAATCAATATAATGATCATGCGGTTTTTAGTGCTTATAGTGTCCATTTAGAAATGTTTTTTATGAGATGAAGTAGAAATCATGGGATCTTTGGTTGATCTGCATTAATAAATGCCTTTTCAAAAGGCTGTGAATTGGCTGTGAATTGTGGCATTGTATGACAGTGACATTATATTAATCCTGCTGTTTGAAAAACAGAATCGTACATTAACTAATAATAAACAAAAATGTAATGCCTACTATTATTTGAGGGTCAATAAAAATACACATGCAAATGGATACTGTCATGGAACACATTCTTCTAAACTGAAATACTACAATCAGCGCCTTTGGTAAACACAGCCTAAAACTTCATGTATCATGTGAGAATTTGGCACACGGCATTGAGTCTCGGTGACAATGCTATGATGTAATAAAATGCCAAAGCTCTGAGTCGGACAACCAAACTCTTCAGCCATTGGAATACTGATCATGTATTACCTAAAGGAGAACTTCCTTTAATAAAATGCTTGTTAAATTAAAGGGAAACTATAGCGCCAGAAAAACAAACTTGTTTTCCTCGCACTATAGCTTCCCCCTCTGTCAAGGCACCCACTGTGGTGCAGAAGGGGTTAATAATCCCTTTTGTTACTTACCTGGGTCCAGCACCAATGTCCTTCAGCGCTGGCTCGGGTCTGCCTTAACTCTGGCGGGGGATACCTAATGCGCATGCGCGGCATTGGCCGTGCTCACATTAGGATTTTCCCATAGGAAAGCATTATTAAATGCTTTTCTATGGGGATTCCGGTGATGCTGGAAGTCCTCATGCATAGCGTGAGGACGTCCAGTGTCATTTAGGTAACCAAAAGTCGCCTTCGAGTCCGGAAGTCCCTCTGGTAGACAGCCACTAGAGGAGGAGTTAACCCTAGCAGGTAATTATTGCAGTTTATAAAAACTGCAATAATTAAATGCTCAGAGTTAAGGTCTGGAGTGGTCTGGTGCCTACAGTGTCCCTTTAAGTATATGCAACAACAACAAAAAAAATTAGAAAAACTAATTCCTTCATTTAGTACATGACAGGATCCTTTAACCATATACATAAAACTTGGGTCAGATAGTGCGGGTGAGTGAAGAAGTGAAGCCCATAGAGACTCACTGTCCAATTCCAACACTGTCTGCCCCAAGGTCAAGTACATGGCTAAATGATACGGTCAAATACTAAAGGTAGGGGTGAGTTTTTCTCTCTCTTTTATTTTTCATATACTTAATTTAGCTTAGAATCTCCTTTCAAAACTTGATGAAATGATCATTATATTAAAAGATAGTGTTGAGGTGACAGTTGTCCTTTAATAAGTATATGGATCACATGTTATAGAACAGCAGCAGTTAGAAAATCAGTATAATAATAAGTATATGGATCACATGTTATAGAACAGCAGCAGTTAGAAAATCAATGAGTGTAAACCAATGTACCATGAGATGGTCCACTGATACGTAACCAGTTTTACATCAACATATGTATGGCTTACATGTCCTCACCTTTGTGAAGACAGCACACCTGTAACATTACTTTTGTGATCCGATCTGCTGTTTATTGCAATTATTGGTGCAGGAAGTGGGGAGGAATCCAGATGATGATGATCATGGTGATAGCTTGACAAAGACCTTTGTGCAGGCCGAAATGTTGCTCTTTTGTTCCAATAAATCTGCTTTTTGAGAAATTTTGAGTCCCTGGACCTGACTTTCTTCCTGATCTATGATGAAAAGGTAGATCCTCAGATATTTTAAAACTACAGCTTCTATGATGCTTTGTCATTCTAAAGGTATGCGAAGCATTATTGAAGTTGGGGTTCTAGAACATCCAGGGATCTACCTTTTGGTCACCCCTGATATTATTTAATTTGCCCATAATTCGCCACACAAATTTATCCAGTGGAATGCATTGGGGATGTATAACGCGTGCACTCTGCTAATCAAATGCTTCACATACAGAAACACTGAATCCAAAGCTTATCTAAGAGAAGTATTAAGGGCATACGGTGTGATGCTGGGCATGGTTACACTTTACCAACGATTTTCAAAGGTCTTAAAGAAGAAGAGTCTTGGTGGCTGTCAATCTGACCGTCATTGGTTATGGACAAGTGCAAACAATGTTGCTGCTCAGAAACTGAAATGTTTTACATTGTCTGAAAAGCAGGATAGCATCTCATCTGGAACATAAATCTGCACTGTAACACATAGTACACACATAATGCTTGCTTTGTATGTATTTATTATAGAATTCCATTGCAATAAAACAGTCGCACTATTGGGTCTCCAATTATATTGAGTTGAGTATTGAGGGCAGCCTAGTCTAGTCCAGTCGTTTCGTGTTCATACTTTACAGCTAAATCTTGACACGTCAAGTGTTGAAATGATTGATGCCACTTGTTCCAATCCTGACACTGCGTCTCACTCCAATTACTGGGCACTGAGTCCACCTTGGACCTGCTTTGAAGCTTAGTCTCACTGGCCACTAGCGGAACATTGGTCACACAAGGGCTCCGTGTCTTATAAGTAATGGTTCCATTTGTTCATCTACAACTGCAAAGAGGATCAAATCTCCAGATGGCTTCATAGATCCAGTTTAGTTCACCATTACCAATGCATAAGTAAAGTTAATGATTAGGGATTTAGCAGAGTGGCATCAGGTTTGACTAGGGAGAGAGGAAGGTGGCATGGCTTAGATATGACTAGCAAGTGTAGAAGGTGGCACAGCTGGGATATGACTAGGGAGGGAGGAGGGTGTCACAGCTGGGATATGACTATGGAGGGAGGAAGGTGGCATAGCTGAGACATAAATAGGGAGAGAGGAAGGTGGCACAGCTGGAATATGACTAGGGAGAGATGAAGGTGGCACGGCGGGGATACGACAAACGAGTGTAGAAGGTTGCACAGCTGGGATATGACTAGGGAGGGTGGCAGAGCTGTGATATACTAGGGAAAGAGGGAGGTGGCAGGGCTGGGATATGACTAGCGAGTGTAAAAGGTGGCACAGCTGGGATATAACTATGGAGGGGGAAGCTGGCATGTCTGGGATATGACAAGGGAGGGACAAAGGCAGCATAGCAGGCTTATGACTAGGGAGGGAGGAAGGTGGTACACCTAGGATATGTATTGGAGGGAGGAAGATGGCATGGCTGGGATATGACTAGGGAGGGAGGAAGGTGGCATAGCGGGGTTATGACTAGGGAGGGAGGTGGCACAGCTGGGAAGAGTAGTAGGAGGCATTGCTGTGGAAGGACAATGCAAATATGGAGCACAACCTGGGTGAGACGAGAGAGGTATGGTTCATGGGAAGGGGCTATGGCTGTGGAGGGAGGCATATTGACAAGACTAAAGAGAGAAGGAAAACAAGAGAGACATTTGGGGCAAGTTTAATGTTATATTTTCCCATTTGTGAACTACATTCCTATGATGTTCAGCTACTGCGTGGGCTGGCTGAGATTAATATGATTAGTATACATCTTCTGTCTTATATTTAACTGTCCATAGACTGCATTTCCCTAGGAGACTGTGCACTTTAATCCTCACAATGCTCAGCCAGCCCTAAAAGAATATTACCTAATTAATTACATGAATGCCTGTCAGATGGTGATGACTCATCTCATGGCTGTTTGGGATAATGGGAAACATAGTTAAAAACATCTGACTTCAATTCTCACAATGCTCAGCGACCCCTAAAATAATATTGCGTAATCAATTACATGAATTGAATTTTTTTAATATGTATTAGTATTTTTTTTGTATTTTATTGTACCCTCTTGTATCAATGCAATGTTATGTGGACCCAGGACATACTTAAAGGACCACTATAGTGCCAGGAAAACATACTCGTTTTCCTGGCACTATAGTGCCCTGAGGGTGCCCCCACCCTCAGGGTCCCCCTCCCACCAGGCTCTAGGGGGAGGAAGGGGTTAAACTTACCTCTTTCTCCAGCTCCGGGCAGGGAACTCTCTCCTCTGTAGCGACATCATCGGCTGAATGTGCATTCAGCCAGTCCATAGGAAAGCATTCTCAATGCTTTCCTATGCACGCTGGTGTCTTCTCACTGTGAAAATCACAGTGAGAAGCGCGGAAGTGCCTCTAGCGGCTGTCAATGAGACAGCCATTAGAGGCTGGATTAACCCTATTATAAACATAGCAGTTTCTCTGAAACTGCTATGTTTATAGAAAAAAGGGTTAATCCTAGCTGGACCTGGCACCCAGACCACTTCATTAAGCTGAAGTGGTCTGGGTGCCTATAGTGGTCCTTTAAAAACGAGAGAAATCTCAATGTACCTTTCCTGGTAAAATATTTTATAAATAAATGAATGCCATGCTCATCTCATGGCTGTCTGAGGATAATGGGAAATTTAGTTAAAAAACATCTGACTTCCATTCTCACAATGCTCAGCCAGCCCTAAAAGAATATTGCATAGTTACATGAATGCCTGTCAAATGGTCATGGCTAATCTCATGGCTGTCTGAGGATAATGGGAAATGTAGTTAAAAAAAAAATTACATCTGAGTTTCCAAGCTATACCATCACTACAATGGGTGAATTATAAGTGCTTGTTAAAAGGGGAGATCCTGTTACATTTCTATAAGGAGTCCCATGTCTGTTTCCTATTAATCCTCCAGCTTCCCTTATTATGATCCCACTGGCTTTACACAAAGCTCCCTTCTCTGTGCAGGATAGATTTTCAGCCTTGCTTTTAGCTATAAAGAAGTTGCAGGGGGAATTTTTTAGGAATGCAGAGATCTCTGTTTGCTGATGCCTGGGGCCCTTTGCACATACATAGTTCTACCTGTTTCTCAGCTAGCAGCCAGCCATGTGACCTGCTCTACACACCTCCCCTTGCTATACCAGCTACCTGAGTCTGTTAGCTGGACTTCTTATCAGGGCTGTGCTGTCACAGAGGGAGAGAGGGGGAGGGCAAACTCACAGGAAAAGGAAGGATCAGGCTGGATCAGGTGCAGTCCTGGCTTTTGGAGACAGAGCTCTGCAAAAGACAAGCCAGAGAGGAATCCTCTGTAACAACAACTGCAGCCAGAGGAGGGGACAACTGACTGTCCTTAAAAATTCCCAATGAATTATTTTCCAGGTTTCAGAATCATCAGAGTTCCTTAAAGCAACACACCAAGTCAACTCTCCCTCCCCTGGTACAAGCTGGACAGGTGCATGGGAAATTCAGACTGATTTCTTTTCCTCATTTGCATTTATTTATCCTTCTATTTTTTTTTTCTTCTCTCACTGAAAACATTTGTTTAATCACGTTTGATTTCCTGTTGATCACAAAGCAAACTGGAGGTCTGCCTCCCCACCAGAGTTAATCTATTGATGTTAGAGACAGGTAAGTGACTTTATGTCTTCATTAGTGACCAGATGTTACTTTGTGTCTGTTATGTTTAATGTGTGTGTGTGGTTTTTTGGGGGCTTTTTTTTTTGCCCTTCTTCACAGTTACAATGTAACTTAAATCAGATCTGTGAGTGCAGATGACACATTTTTTCCTAAAGCGTTTTACAATAATCCACCCACTTCCACAGCTATGTATTAACACAAAAGAAATCCTGTGTTTTCTAATCCCAAGAATATATCATTACTTTTATTGCCATTTTTTTTTTTTTATTGGTCCACTGTTTTGAAGTAGATTTGTCAAAGCACAAACCACTCCAAGCATGTTAACCCTTTCCTATTAATCTTCCCATTAATTCTAAAAAAAATTTAAAAAAATGTATTACTGAACTTCTCATTTTATTTTTGGCCGATATTAGGGTTAATAATAATTTTAGGTTCTGAAAACTCAGATCCTTCATTTTATTAAACTTTGTAACTTGTTGACTTTTGATCTAATTTTAAGTTGCTGACATCTAATCATTTATTTAAATGTAACAGGGTCATTCATGAAAATGTTAATTCCTGGAAATTCTAAGTGAATTTCTGAATTTAACTAATCTTGGTCTAAAATTTGAAATTCCCTTTTGAATTACCAATAATTCTCACATGTACACACAGACACTACTTATCAAGTAATGAGTACATATTATCCATTGTTAAACAAGAAATAATCTGACTTAATATTTAGCTGTGAGATAACCCTATATGTGCCATGGAGGCTGAGTATCACAAACCTCTGGACCTTGAATGGCAAACCAAGCTTTAAGACAGTGATCATTTTATTTTGTAATATTTTAATGTTTATTGCAGTGTTTTAGGACATTTGCAAAGACCTGTATGTGTCACAGTGGCAAATCTATATAAATATAAAATGTTGTCCATTAAATGGTTACTGGCTTTACTGTGGGCTCTAGTTAAACTTGTGATAATTCCTTCTGAGAAAGCGTGTGCTGCTGGTTTCAGTTTACCTTTCCATTGCCCTGTTTGGCTGGATGGGCTCACAAACACCAGATGATCTAGATCAGAAACAAAGATAGCTCCCCATATGATGTAGAACTACAACTACCATGATGCTGTGCAGCCTTCATACTGTCAATGCATCATGGGAGTTGAAATGGCACAGTACCTGCAGATACAGCTTTTGGCCTATCCTACCCTGGAAAACCTTGGCCTTGATAAATTCTAGTTCAGAGATAACCACTGTGCTTGTTTTAATACAATGGTATTTATTGAATTATAGTGTATGGGATATACTGAGTTACTCACTAAAGTGAGAGTTTGAAGTGAGTCCAAAGGGACACCATAGTAACCAGAACCACTGCCGTTTAATGTAGTTGTTCTGGTGAGTATAGTGTGTCCATGCAGGTTTTTTTATTTTAAAAACTTCCTTTTCTGAGAAAAAGCAGTGTTTACATTTCTGGCTGGTAACACCTCTCTAGTGGCAGTCACTCAGACTGCCACTAGAGGTGCTTCCTGGGTCAGTGATGGACACTGTTCAGCACTGATATTCAGCGTCCCCACGTTCTGCATGCATCTCCACGTTCTGCATGACATGCGCAATAGCCTCCCAATGTTTCCTTATGGGACAGCATTGGATTGGCTGAGATGATCAAAATTGATGATCTAAGCCCATGGAGGCAGAGCCAAGCTGGTCCAGTGCAGCGTGGGAGAAAGGTGAGTAAAAACACATTTTCATAACGATCGTAGGGGCACTGGGGACCTAATGCTGCACTCCAGCATTACAGTATAAGGAATCTGACACTATATATTCTTCCTTGCATGGGACACTAGCTGAACTGGGAACATCCTCTATTTCATTTAGGCTTTTAGTTAAAATGCTTTGGTTTAAAATTTTAAATTTTGAATCCTTACTTTAAAAACAGGGTGTGACCACAGCATTCTAATAACCAGCTTTCTCTGAGACAACTCATACAGTATATGAATACATACTACTTAATTGCTCATGATTGCTTATATAAGCTGTCGGTACCTTCTGAAAGAGGATTTATTTCCAAATCTGTTTCAGGGGAAGAAATGGTTAGTTGTAACTATTTAACTCTTTGACTACCGTTTTGGCTTGCAAGCTTTGAATAGAATCCATAGATACGTTGTTACTGCTGCTATTCAGTTTGAAAATAAGTTTCCTGGTTTTTTTTTTATTCTGTATATTTTGTATTTAAATATTGGTATAAATTGTAAGGCATATGTCGGGATTTTTCATCCACAGTAGGTAAATATGTAGAATTCTAAACCTATGTAAATTTTTGCAGCTTTGGTATATTGGCCTAATATTCCTAATCCCTTCTGAATACTCAAGCAATTCCCAGTTTAATGGATAAATCCATCACATTTACGGTTATTCATTAAGCAGGGTATATCTCCCACATTTGTAAAGTTTGCTGAAAATCCTTGAATTTTGCTCGTAATTAAAATCTAGATGTTTACCTAATGCAAGTAAGAGGTTAAAGGAACACTATAGTCACCTAAATTCCTTTAGCTAAATAAAGCCATTTTAGTGTATAGATCATTCCCCTGCAATTTCACTGCTCAATTCACTGTCATTTAGGAGTTAAATCACTTTATTTCTGTTTATGCAGCCCTAGCCACACCTCCCCTGGCTATGATTGACAGAGCCTGCATGAAAACAAAACTGGTTTCACTTTCAAACAGATGTAATTTACCTTAAATAATTGTATCTCAATCTCTAAATTGAACTTTAATCACATACAGGAGGCTCTTGCAGGGTCTAGCAAGCTATTAACATAGCAGGGGATAAGAAAATCTTAATTAAACAGAACTTGCAATAAAGAAAGCCTAAATAGGGCTCTCTTTACAGGAAGTGTTTATGGAAGGCTGTGCAAGTCACATGCAGGGAGGTGTAACTAGGGTTCATAAACAAAGGGATTTAACTCCTAAATGGCAGAGGATTGAGCAGTGAGGCTGCAGGGGCATGTTTTATACACCAAAACTGCTTCATTAAGCTAATGTTGTTCAGGTGACTATAGTGTCCCTTTAATTTGGAGAATCACATTGAATGTGCTCATCTGTCTCTGAGCAAATTGGTTTCTTAATTAAACACGGAAATTTGCAAAACTTGCTTATCGGCAGCTTGTTTAAAAAATAATATATATCTCTTTGATATAACTGAAACGTGCATAATTTGAATACTTTTACTGTGTGTTTGTGTACATTTAATTTTCACTAGTGTTATATGTAAATAAAATTGGGGTCCTTTTTAGACCCCCTTTTGACCAGAAGGGACCCAGCAATATGGTTTTTTGGTGCTGTGATCATTCACTTTAACCCCTTTAATGAATGCTATTGAAGTGTTCACTGGTATGAATGGTTTACCACTTCCTTGCACAATGTGACTTTATCACCACCCACCCAACTATCTAACGGACATCCCTTTCACTCTCGTGTGGTACTTTTTGTATAGTACATTTTACAACCTTTGTAAGTATGCTCCAAATTGCCCTTATTATCGAATTTTAGATTATTAGAAGGACTGGAAAATTGCTAACTCAGCCTAAAATGTGGCAATCCTTGATCAATACCTGGCTGTTCCCAGTTTAGTAAATAACTTTGTGTTCACTTTATTATGCGTACGTTCTCATTAATACAAATAGGCAAAACGTGTTTCATGCTGCAGTGAGTCAATATGTAATGCATGCCAACATAGTCAAGAGAAATATTAGTTGTTTGACCAAGCACTGGAATGGACATGACATGGTGTGGCTGTAGTAGTGCTGGTATCTTAGAGAAAGCTGTTACTTTGGAAATTCCCTGTTTTACATTCTCGAGTCTAGAGCGTTCATGAAATTGTGCAATACACAAATGCCCAGTGAATGTTCTGTGATGGAGAACGACTTGATATGAAAATGGTCAGACAAGCTCATCCTAAATCTCCTTTTTACAAAATCTGTGTGTGGAAGCCGCCATGCATTGAATAAAGGAAGGATGGTCTACAGAACCAGAACACCATGCTAACACAAGGTTTACCAATTTGGGTTCCATTCCTGTTCACTAAGAACAAAAAGGAAAACCCAGAGTGCTGAAAAAGTTGATAGACAACATAAAACAAAACCAATATTTCCTGGTCTAATGAATCTCAGTATCTGCTGCAACCCTCGTAAGGTACATATCTGGCAGGTAGGTTCTGGACCCACATTAGGCTATGTAATACCATATGAGGATCGTGTCTGGAGCACCTTATACATATGCATTATTTCAAGGTTGTGTCCTTTATGACGTCATTGTATGACGTCATGTCCCCATGGCCCATATTGCCCAAGGAATGCTTCCAGCTCCTCATCTGCAAGGATTTCAGGCAGCTCAGGAGGCAAAGAATGTCCTTTCTTCATACATACTATGTGTACTGGATAAAGTGACCACGGAGTTTAGGCTTAGTCCAACCTACTCTCTATATTGTGTTGGACTACACTTCCCATAATTCTGAGTTAGAGGCTGGCAGAGAAATATGGGAATTATAGTCAGACAGCGGGCTGATGACGTTTGGCTCATCTGGTATAGTGAATTGCCCTGTTTACTACTAAAATACCCAATGTTGCTCTTCCCTTCTGAGTACAAGAACCCGTAGTTCCCTAGTTGTTAAAGACTTCTCAGAATATATTTTCAATACACCATAGCTTTTCTCGTCACAAAAACATAACCTATCCCCAGAAGACCCTCACCTCCTTTCTCCAAATATCCAAATCATCCATTTCTATAGATGCCTTCGTAACAAATCCATCTTTTAAGACACTGAATGCCCCCCCTTCCTCCAACAGGGGGCCATTGTTCTGCGAGTCCTGGGTTGCTGCCTAGAAAGGCCTTGTTGGTCTCTCTAGGTGAGGCATACCAATCTTCAGCACTCCAGATGTTTTGGACTACACCACCCATGATGATTTGCCAGTATTATGGGTGTAAGAACATTATAGGGGATGTAGTCCACAACATCTGGAGTGCCGAAGATTGCATACCCCTGCTCTCGGTCCATCTGAATAGAAAATACAATTGTATGTTGACTAGATCACTTACACCTTGTGAGCTTACAAAAACTGCAGCACTATGTGAATGATAACCTGATGTCACAAATTCCTCACAATACCCACGCAATCCCCATCTAAAATGGCATTTTGTTTACTTCATATGTCCCAAGATCTACCAGGAACCATTGTAGAGTCAACATAGATGGTTTGAAATGGAACCTTAATAAAACTTATGGAAACCTGAACGTGCCATTTACCATGATCACCAAGTGGCGCTGGTCACTTCTTATCTTCAGAAAGGATGTCAAAGGCAAAATATGGAGATCAGGAGAACCAGACTATAAACCTTCTACAAAAGAGACGATTGCTTGCGTATCCAAGAGTGGTTGTACCTCTTTAGATTTTGCTATGTTTTTTTTTTGATGAACCATTGGTGAAATAAAGTACACATTAAACATTGTTTAGTCTCCCCACCCCCTCCACCTCCCCCTCCTCCCTCCACTTTTCATTGTGTAACTCTCATATGTTAGGAAATTACTCCAGATAAGAGCCCCTCTTGCCTTCCTATGGTAGTTTTTTTTTTTTTTTTTATAAGGTTTAAATGATGGTAGGAACAAACAATGAATGGTTGAGTGGAACTTTCTTTTGAAGCATAAATTGTAGAGTACTGTGTGCTAGAAGGAATGATGCTATGGATGTAGATCTTTAACAGAGTGCTTTGCATATTGCGAGCATGATGTCATGTATTCTGACCTCCCAAAGAGTGCAATGCATTCATTATCAGGTGTGATGTCAGAGCACTGTGCTCTATAAACTGTGACATCATATGTTGCTATGCTTCTGCTGAGGTATGTCAAAGATTCTGACCTTCTGCAGAGCAATATGTACGATGCCATACACTCTGACCTTTAGCAGAGCGCTTTAAGCTGTGACATGTTCCTGCAAAGCCATGTTCATGATAACATGATGTCAGAAATTATCACATTTCCTAGAACGCTGCATGATGCGATACATTATGACCTTTTCTATAGCACTGTGCAGTACATGATGATGTAAAATCATGGATTCTAAACCGCTGATTAGTTCTGTACCCAGCAGTCTGATTTCCTAGCGGTCATAAATTCTAACTAGACCAGTGTGTGTGTGTGATACAGTGTGGCATTTTGGATTCTGAGAGTGTACTGTAAACAATACGTTGTGATGTCACTGTTACTAATCTCGTAGATACTGTGGTGTGATGCTATAGATTTTTTTTTTTTTTTTTTCTTTGCACTGTAGGGTGTGAGGTTATAGACTCTGAATAAAGTTTAGGAAGTGTGGACACGTTGCGTGGTGGTGGGGTGTTGATAATCTCTCCTTCCTTGTGCCCCTTTTATGTTAATTATATTGTAGTATCATTTGAAATGCATGGTTATTTTGTTGTCTGACCACTGTGCTTTTGTAATAAGTGAGATGTCAATACTAGTTAGTCTCAAAGCAGGTATCTTGCCCTCGAGCACTTTCAGTTGTTTAGATATTAAATGACTTGTTATTTTAGATTCTATTTCTAACCGCCAGCCACAGATCATCCTAGGGATGAGGCCTAATTAGCATCCCAAATGTCTTAACGATTTTGTATTGTAAACTAAGAAAATAATATTGGTATCTGTCTAAAGCTCCCAGCTATATGCATTTTTAAAAAGTAAAATAAACACACACACTAAGGAACAGTGCATACACAAAAACAGAAGTGTGTGTGTGTGTGTGTGTGTGTGTGTGTAAAATATTTTTTTTATTTTCATCATGCCAGGCAATCATCTTCCATTGCTCCATGGTCCAATTCTGACCCTCATGTCCACATGGAAGGCGCTTTCGTCAGTGGACAGGGGTCATCATGGGCGCTCTGTGCAGCATTAAGTGTTTCAGTAATTTGAGCTACAGTAGCTTTTTTTGTGTGATCGGACTAGACGGGTTAGCCTTTTCTCCCCGCGTGCATCAGTATATGTGATCCTGATGCCGGTTCATCGGTTACCCTTCCAGCACACTTCTGGTAGGTACTAACTTGCTGTTTTGGAGATGCTCTGACCCAGTCGTCTAGCCGTCACTATTTGGCCGTTGTCAAAGTCACTCGGATCTTTTCACTTGCCCATTTTTCCTGCTTCCATTACATGAAATTCATGAACTGACTATTCATTTGCTGCCTAGGATATCTTAACCCTTGACAGGTGCTGCTGTAACAATATTATTAAAGGACCACTGTAGTGCCAGGAAAACATACTTGTTTTCCTTGCACTATAGTGCCCTGAGGGTGCCCCCACCCTCAGGGACCCCCCTCCCGCCAGGCTCTGGGGAGAGGAAGGGGTTAAAATCTTACCTTTCTCCAGCACCGGGCGGGGAGCTCGGCTCTTCTCCTCTTTGGCTGCATGCATGGCAGGAGCTGTGTGCGCCTTCAGCCAGTCTCATAGGAAAGCATTCATAATGCTTTCCTATGGACGCTTGTGTCTTCTCACTGTGATTTTCACAGTGAGAATCACGCAAACGCCTCTAGCGGCTGTCAATGAGAGGCTGGATTAACCCATTTATAAACATAGCCATTTCTCTGAAACTGCTATGTTTATAAAAAAAAAAAAATGGGTTAACCCTAGCTGGACCAGGCACCCAGACCACTTCATTAAGCTGAAGTGGTCTGGGTGCCTAGAGTGGTCCTTTAATGTTATTCACTTCACCTGCCAGTGGTTTTAATGTTGTGGCTCATCAGTGTATATTTAAACTATATTTGGGAGTCTTCGTTTATTTTGCTAGGAGGTCTTCCCCTGTTGGAACACGTATGGCTATTCCTGTCTATAAAAGTGGGTGCGACTATACAGTTATAAAATTTGCTGTTTCGTGGTAGATGTTACACAGAATGCTTTTGCCCTGAAAATAGAACTTTTTCTCCTAAATAGGGCCCAGTTTCTTTCTGGGTCCTCTGGGCAAAACCCAAGAGGATGTCAAAACATGCTAGATAGTTTTCCATAAAGGGAAACTATGTTTGTAAAAAATATGTATATGTTTGTTTAATGCGTGCAATTAACCATTACAAAAATATGTATTTAATAAAATGTGCTCAAATATTTCCTAAACCCTGAAAACGCACCATTTAGTAGCTGCGGAGCTAACCTTTGCAGGTAATGAAGATCAAGGCTCTTTTTTTCCCAGCAAAACCTTGTTAGTGCTTGGCACTATCCAATTAAATGCTTCACATAGAGAAACACTGAGGACAACTCTCCAGTCCAAAGCTTCTCATAGAGATGTGTGGTGACATTTAGAATCTTAATAATAATTATTATTAAATATATTTAAAAAAAAAAACATACTTTCTGGTAGTATTTAAGGTGCTGCATTTAAATATTCACTTAAAATGGTGGCTTGCTATATAATGATATCATGGCTAAAATGTATTTTAATGCTCAGCTAAGAGGGAGTTGGCCATAACAACAGGTGAAATTTTTATTTATCTCAGTAATTATCTCTGCCTTTTAAAAAAAAAAGGTCTGCAAAGATAGGATTTATCCACCACAACCACTTCATTCACATGAAGAGGTTATAGTGCTTGGCGTAACCCTGTAAATAACGTGTGCTTTAGGGTGTCCCATTTATATATTTTTTGGGACTATTTAATTGGCATTGTAGTGGAGCAATCGCCATGGAAACCAATGGAATGTTACTGCTGATTGCTTCACTTCTAGAACTTTGTTCCGCAACATCTCGGTATACATAACCCCTATTGTGCTAAGTATTGACTTCTCTGATACAGTGATCTAAGTCAGGGATTCCCAACCCACAATTCCCAACACACTCTGTTATGACCATCATTCCTGGATGTAACTTGAGAATTGAGAAATTCATTAGGATACATTTCTATCTGTATAACTGATCCGCCTTTTTTTTATTTTATTTTTTATTGCATACATTTTTATTTCATTTTTTCCAAGAATGTTGCCAAATAAGTTGCATTGCATACACCATAAGGACGGTGAAAAGTCATATATATATATATATATATATATATATATATATATATATATATATATATATATATATATATATATATATATATACACACACACACACAGAAGGGACCTTAGCACAGACATGTCGCTTACAGTGGTTAGCCCTGTAACAGACAATAGCATATTGGAATAACCGTTTCAGTTCCATAAGGGAGACGCAGTATATTACATTGTAATGTTAGATTAGCTGGTGCACAACATCGTTGAAAGAAGCTTGGTTGCTCAATGTGGGTTGCTATCATCTAATAGACATCACAATTGCACTCCATGGCATATTGATCTCCTTTTTTAGATTTACCAAGAAATTATTTAAGCGGCTCTGTCACCCCCTCCAAAATCAGTATTTCATAAAGATAACCAGTGAAGTCTGTAGAGGGGAGTAAGCATTGTCTATAGAGGATCCATAGACCTCAGTGTTCTACTCTTCAGCATACGTAATAGTTAAAAATCAACATTAGCTCATGGTAGATGAAGCACCATCAGCTAAAGGGGACCATCGGGATGAAGATGGTGGCATCCCCGACGGACAGGTTCAGGTAAGTAAAACTAACTTTTTCCTGCAGACACCACACTGCAAGTGAAGCAGTCCCCATCGGAGGTCTTTTCAAAATATGCAGAGACACCAGATGGTGGTAGATCAACTTTGAAAGCAAATGTTTTTGCTTCTTGTCCTTCTAAAAATGTGTTAATATAATATCTAGTACATGACTAAAAAGGGACATACAACATTTGCTACATTTGCTTAGCACTGAGAGAATGCAACTAAATCCTTGTTGTATGTAAATACAGGAAGTAAAAATGTTTGAAACTTTCATTGTTCTTGAAGGTGCCAAAAATCATTTCTGTGGGTTTCTCATGAATTTTCAGGCAGCTAAAGTTGATACAGTGCTCCAAACGGGATGTTTCGCATTTCCATGGCTGCTATGACAACATCAAGTTTTGTGCTTCCATACATCTTGAAGGTCTAAAACACTTTAGAATTATTGAAGATGCAACCTAAGCATCATGAGTGCTAAAGTGGTTATGATGCCAGGAGTCACCCTGGCTCCAACCCACTGTTAAAGAGTGAAATTATTTTAGAATGTTTTATCATTTACCTGCGTCCCCAGGATGCCTGAATGTATTTGACAGTTTATCATCTCTATAATCTTTGCCAGGGATCTCCACCTCCCTCTTCTTAAAAGTCAACAATGATCAGGTTCTTTCTGATTACAAAACAACTTCTCCAAAAATCAGATACACGGTGACATGCAAGGCTTCTTGAAATGTTGTAAGCGTTTTCCGTGTTTTTTAATTGAGAAAAATAAATGATCGCCTAAGGGAAATTATCTTCCTGTATAAATAATGATTTACAGATCATGTTATCAAATGAAATATACAATTATCATCTTTCACTTGTGATAATATTGTTTAGGTAAGCATTGGGAGCAAACTGCTCTGGCGTACTGTGGCAGTAATTGCTAATGTTAATATAGCTGTGCACAACCAAGAGCTAAGTGTAATAAATGTTTTTCTAATTTTAGGGGACACTCCAAGCACCAGAAGGACTTTGCTTCTTGTGTCTGTAATTATGCAAGCTGCTACCTGGCCCTTCATTCATCATATTCATTATAACCATAGCAAGTTGCAAACCTTTTATACAACTTTTTCCCTCCTAATTATACAGAATCCTGTGTGTTGAGTGATCAGGCTATATCATTTGTAAAGTCTCATGGTCACTTTTGGTCATGTTTTGCGAAGATCCCTCCCCATCAAGTTTGCACTTTATGTGAACTCATTGCTTCTTGGTAAAGACTTCTCTTGAATCTAGGTCTTCATCTTCTGGTTTCTTCATCTTCCAAGAACTGATATGTACTAATTGATAAGGGGGTGGCTATGAAAGAACCTACAGAATACCTTCCGCTACACATGAGAAGCTCTTGCATGGGAAGATGTCTTCTCCCATCAGCCTTCATTAACAGTGTATGATCTTCAACATCAGCATCCCATAAAGTGGTATGCTTTAAGGTGGGACAAAAGGCACAAATTGCACCTAGCAGCTCCCAAAGGATGCGACCCTGCCCAAATAGGGGGACAGCCCACCTGAAGAACAGGAAAGTCAGCCTGGATTGTACACATCATGCTGACTGCCTATCACTCAAGCTGGCCCACTAGGGGCAGATTATGCAGAGAACTCTGTTACAGAACTCTCTGCATGGTCCTAGCGTCCAGAGCACAGCACAACCATTTCTAATGATGCTACTACGCTTTGTAGGAACAATTACCTTGTGTCCCTGGAAGTGGCACACGTGGTAATAGACTTGGAATGGTGGACCTCAAAATAGGGACTATTCTTCTAAAATTGGGACAGTTGGGAGGCCTGACAATGTTTCAGCCATTAACAAATTTTAACAAAAACTTGGTTATACACAAGTCAAAGTGGTCCCTAATTCATCTCATGATGTTTTTTGTGTTTTGTTTTTTAAATAATTTACCAGGAAATTTCTGTGAAATTCCAAGGTAGTCATTATAACTCTTTCAAAAGTTTGTCTTTATGAAAACTTCAAGTAACCGTGCCATTTTAAGTAACTTGTGTGGAGCGTCTCATAGATTTTAATGAAAAAAGCATAACCACCACATCTGAGTCTCTGGGTGCTGCCTCCTGGTTCTTTGTGAAACCGTTTTATGATGGTATTTTCAGCCAATCACAGCTGCCCAAGTCAGATAAAATTTAGACTGATAAAGTGCAAGCATAAATCATGCATTGGAGAAACTGTTTAGAAAGTGACGGCCTCTAGGTGCCATTAAGAAAATGTTTTGTTTTTGTTTGTTTTTCAAACCACTCCAAAGTGGTGTCACGGTTTTGGACTGACCTCATTGCCATGGGAACTTCACCGAGCATCTTTCTTACCTAACCAGTGGCCTGGTCTGTAAGCATTAGAGACGCATGGCTGCTGCGTGCCAGAGCCTTTCCCTTGTTTCTGAAACTCACAAATGTGCATGCGACATTACGTTGACTTCATGCGCACATGTTCCAGTGTCATATGACCTCTTTGGGCCAGTCAGAGCCTCCTTTTGTTATTTGAACCCAGTCTAGTCAGTTTTCATTGTCTCTATATGGTTTCCTGTTTGGTTATCTGACAGCATGTTATTTCTATTGATTCTTGTGTATTTTGACCTTGGCTTGTTGTTTGACTATTCTGACATCTTTATCCCTTGACTTATGGCTTGTCTGCCGTTTAGGAACATTCTGTTTCCCTGATCTTCATCCTGTCCTGTAATATTCTATATTAATGTTAAATCTAACAATTCTAATGTCCGTTAATGTGTTTTTAGAGTTTCTTTCTTTATATTTGTTACTTAAAAGAACACTATAGTCACCAAAACAACTTTAGCTTAATTAAGCAGTTTTAGTGTATAGATCCTGCCCCTGCAGTGTCACACTGCTCAATTCTCTACCATTTAGGAGTTAAATCACTTTTTTTTTTTTTTTTTTCTGTTAATGCAGCCCTAGCTACACCTCCCTTGGCTGTGACTGACAGAGCCTGCATGTAAAAAAACAGGTTTCATTTTCAATCTGATTACCTATGATTTTATCTCCTGCTCTGAAAATGTAACTTTAATTACACACAGGAGGCTCCTGCTGGGTCTACCAAGGTATTGAAAGCAAACCAGTTTTCCTGGCACTATAGCTTTCCCCTCCATTAAGCCCACTCCCTTGTGGTGCAGAAGGCAGTGGCGTACATACCAGGGTCGCAGGGGTCGCGGCTGCGACCGGGCCCGGCCCACCAGGGGTAAAACTTAGATTTTTCCAGCGCTGGGCGGAGAGCTCTTCTCCTCCGATCCTCCTCTTCTCCTCCCCGTCGGCTGTATGCGCACGCGCGGCAAGAGCTGCGCGCGCATTCAGCCGGTCACATAGGAAAGCATTCATAATGCTTTCCTATGGACGCTGGCGTGCTCTCACTGTGAAAATCACATTGAGAAGCACGCAAGCGCCTCTAGTGGCTGTTAATGAGACATCCACTAGAGGAAATAGGGGAAGGCTTAAAAATGGGTTAACCCTAGCTGGACCTGGCACCCAGACCACTTCATTAAGCTGAAGTGGTCTGGGTGCCTAGAGTGGTCCTTTAAGTGTGTGTGCATCTGCATGCACTGGCGTACATACCGCGGTCGCAGGGGTCGCAGCCCTGTAACCCCTGTGACCAGGTGCCCACCGCCATGTGTTGCGGCCCGGCCACGAGCACGGATCAATTTTCGCACCGGGGCCCCATGGGTCATGTGTACGCCACTGGCAGAAGGGGTTAGAAACCCCTATGGTCACTTATCTGGGTCTAGTGCAGTGGGACTGCCTTCTCTCCACGCTCGCATTAGGATTTACCCATAGGAAAGCATAATTCAGTGCTTTTCAATGCTGTCCTGTGGGGTTTTGGGTGGTGTTTGACATCCCCATGCATAGCATGAGGTCGTCCTGCATCATTTAGGTGACCAGAAGTCGTTCTAGTGGCTGTCTGGTAGAAGGCCACTAGAAGTGGAGTTAACCCTAGCAGGCAATAATTACTTACTCAGGGTTAAGAGACCTGGGACAGTGCACCCAGACCACTTTAATGAGCTGAAGTTGTCTGGGTGCCTATAGTGTCCCTTTAACAGAGCAAGAGATAAGAAAATCTAAATTAAAAAGAATTTGCAATAAAGGAAGTATAAACATTAGATGACTCTTTACAGGAAGTGTTTAGGAAGGGTGTGCACGTCCAGGGCCGGCCTTAGGCAATTAGGCGCCCTGTGCAAAAAGTCTTCACGGCGCCCCCCCCACCTCCCACCAAGTTGCCTGAATACAGTAACACACACAGGCACCGGGGGCGTGTGTATCACGAGGCAAACAAGGCATCTGCCTTGGGCGCCACTTTGCAGGGGGCGGCAAAAAAAAGCATCCCTCCAAACCCCCAGGCAGATCCCTTGCTTGCCTCGCATCCTGGGGGGCTCAAGAGCTGACCGGCTGGCCACTTTTGAGCCCCCCCCAAGGCTGGCAGCGGGCAGCGAAGGAGCATACTCACCTGAGCTCTTCCTGCTCAGCTTCCTCTGCGCCGCTTAATGAAGCCGGGAGCCAGACTATGACGTCAGTCCGGCTCCCGGCATCACTAAGCGCTGCTTACTCAGCCTGTGCGCCCCCTGCCTGCCTGCCCAGCAGCCACACTGGACTGCTGGTAAGAAATCCACTCCAGCTTTCCCAGGGAGGCTGGGTGGATTTAAAATAAATGTAAAAAATATTAGTTTGTGAGTGTTAGTGGAAATGTCTGTGAGTGTTTATTTTGAAGTGAATGTGTGTGTGTAATTGTGTGTGTCTGTAAGTGAATGTGTGTGTGTCTGTGAGTGAATGTGTGCGTTGGTCAGTGAGTGTATATGTGTCAGTCAGTGAGTGTGTATGTGTCAGTCAGTGAGTGTGTATGTGTCAGTCAGTGAGTGTGTATGTGTCGTCAGTGAGTGTGTATGTGTCGTCAGTGAGTGTGCGTCTGTCAGTGAGTGAGCGTCTGTCAGTGAGTGAGCGTCTGTCAGTCAAAGTGCGGCCTTGACAGGAAGGGGTGGGGGAAATTTAAACTCGGTTACAGGCATGTACACACACACACTCAGTTAAAGGCAGTCACACATACAGGCACAGGCACAAACAATGGCACAGCTACAGCGACACACACAGACAGACAGTCACATAGGCAGTCACACACACAGACAGACAGTCACATAGGCAGTCACACACACAGACAGACACACAGTAACACACACATAGACAGTTATACACACACAGGCAGGCAGTCACACACAGACAGATAGTTACAGACAGACACACACAGGCAGGCAGGCAGTCACATACAGGCAGTCACACACACAGGCAGTCACACACACAGACAGTCACACAGACAGACAGTCTCACACACACAGGCAGTCACACACACGGGCAGTCACACACACGGGCAGTCACACACACGGGCAGTCACACAGACAGACAGTCACACACACAGGCAGTCACACACACGGGCAGTCACATACATGGGCAGTCACACAGACAGACAGTCACACACACAGGCAGTCACACACACACAGATACAGACAGTCACACAAACAGGCAAACAGTCACACACACACACAGACAGTCACACGCACACAGGCAGGCAGTCACACAGACAGACAGTCACACACACACACAGACAGACAGTCACACAAACAGGCAGTCACATACATGGGCAGTCACACAGACAGACAGTCACACACAGGCAGGCAGTCACACACAGAGACAGTCACACACACACACACACACACACACACAAGGACAGGCAGTCACACAGACAGTCACACACACACACACACAGACAGTCACACGCACACAGGCAGGCAGTCACACGCACACAGGCAGGCAGTCACACAGACACACACACAGACAGACAGTCACACAAACAGGCAAACAGTCACACACACACACTTACCTCTTTCCAGTGGATGCAGTTGGCTGATGGGGAAGCATCTTTCCCTCTTCCTGTACAGCAGGGGCTTCGGGAGGTATTAGCCCCGTCTCCGCCTCTCGATAAGCCCCGCCTCCGCCGCTCGGTAAACCCCGCCCCCTCTGCCGCGATTTTTTTTTTTTTAAATAGACCTGGGTGGAGAACAATTAATCCTCCAGCCAGGTACCTCTTTTAGCTCCCCTGCACTCCGGCCATGAGTGAGCTGTGTCGGCCACAGGGCGCCCCCTGTTCCATGGCGCCCTGTGCGGTCGCACAGCTCGCACACCCCTAAGGCCGGCCCTGTGCACGTCACATGCAGGAGGTGTGACTACAACTGTATAAACAAAGTGATTTAACTCCTAAATGGCAGAGAATTGAGCAGTGAGACTGTAGGGCATGATTTATACACCAAAACTGCTTAATTGAGCTAAAGTTGTTTTGGTGACTATAGTGTCCCTTTAAGTTCTGCGTGTCGGGTGTTAGACTATCTTGACAAATGGTTTGAGTAAGAATCAGTGTGAGTTTCATAAAGACTACTGGCATTGTAACCATGTCACTGAGTGCCTTTTAGGATACTAGGCAAGGGAACATAAGCTGCCTTATGAAAACTGTACTCACTGGAAGAGTAATTTTATGAATTAATGAAATAATAATGACTTTAAAAAGACATTTGATGAATACACTATTAGGCGATGGTGTTGGTGTAAACTCCGTGTGTAGGTGTAATATATATATATTTTTATTTTTTTTAAGTTTCGAGAATAGCAGAGATTGTGGGGAGATCATGTGGTATTCTGCCCCCACTGGTGGATAGGGTCCAGGGGAGTGCTTTTAGGGGTGTTTGTGTTTGTTCTATTTCGACCCACGCTTTTTTAACTCCTTCTCTGGAACACTCTAATATCCTTCCCAAGTGGATTGCCCTGTGGTAGTTTTGGATGTTTGGACAACCCAGTCCTCCTTTCTCCTTTGGTTTAGTCAGTAAGTTAAGGGCTATCCGAGGATGTTTCTTTGCCCAAATGAAAGATGTAAGCATTGTCTGGATCGTGCAGAAAAAAATTATTAGGAATGTGCATTGGGATTGTATTTAAGAGATACAGGATACGTGGGAGTATATTCATTGAGATAATGTTTATACGTCCCATCCATCGAAAGTGTGGTTTGTCCCATCTAAGTCTTTCTTTATGGCTGATAGTAGGTCTGGAAAGTTCGCTTTGTATAGAGTCTTGTGTGTGTGTGTGTGTGTTTTGGTAATTTGTACCCCTAAATATTTAATGGAGTGTTTCGCCCATTGGAATGGATAGGCTTGCTGCAGTCTTTGTACTTTGTGGGAGGGCACATTGATATTTAGGATTTCACACATGTCTACATTAATTTTGAAGTTGGATAACTCGCTATATTTATTTAAGACCTCTGTCAAGTGGGGGAGACTGTGTTTAATGGATGTTCAATGGTGAATAATAAATCATGGGCAAAAGCCGATACTTTATACTCTTGTTTCTGGACCCTGATACATTGTATGTTGGAGTGCTTGCATACTTCCTGCAAGAGGGGTTCTAGGGATAAAATATACAGGAGTGGTGATAACTGGCATCCCTGTCGGGTGCCGTTGCTTATCTTGAATGGTCTGGAAAGTTGACCATTAACCTTTAATCGAGGGTGGGAGTATATTGCTTTGATCCATTGTAGCCATCTGTTTCCAAAACCCATCGTCTCAAGTGTGGTTAAAAGAAAGGTCCAGTCCACCCTGTCAAAGGCTTTTTCTACGTCAATTGCCAGGAGTAAGGTCGGGATTTGTGTGAGACATGGTTAATCAAATTTATAATTTTGGAGGTGTTATCTTTTGCTTCCCTGGCTGGAACAAAGCCTGCCTGATTAGGGTGGACCAGTCCTTGGAGAAAGGGTTTGAGCCTAGACGCCAGCATCTTAGTAAAGATCTTGACGTATACATTAATAAGAGATCGGCCTATAGCTGGCTCATTTCTCTAGGTCTTTCCCTGATTTGGGCAAAAGTGTGATCGTCGCCTCTAAGGCTTGGCTTGGTATTTGATTGTGGTGTGGGATAGAATTTATTGCCTCCGATAGGTGTGAGTTAAGCTCTGTTTGGAACGTCTTATAGTACGTGGCTGAAAACCCGTCAGGGCCTGGGCTTCTATTATGCGGGGTCTGTTTCAATGCCAGTCTAAGTTCGTAAATGGTGAATGGTTCCTCTAGTGATCTTGTTGCCGCTGGGGGAAGTATTAAGTCGAATTTGTTCTCTAAGTAATTTTTTATTTCTTTAGTACTAGATTCTCTCCCCTTCAAATTGTACAGTTGTTTTTGCGTTTTTATGTATCCCTTTCTTAAAGGGAAAAAAAAAAATACAATTCATAAAGTATATACTGCTTTCAGGGTTTTTTAATCTATACTTTTAAAATGTTTTCTAATATGACTAGCACTGACAATTTTGGCAGCAAATTTCAATTTAGTTTTAGTCATAGTCTTTTGACTAAAAAGCCTTTTTATGTTTTAATGGTATTTTAGTCATCTGAATTGTTTTAGTCAACTAAATCTCTTGGTCAACACAACTAAACTCGTTTGGTTAAAGCCTCTCTTTTGCCTCTTCCTCAGCTCCTCTGCGCAGTGGCGTACACTTGACCCATGGGGCCCCGGTGCGAAAATTGATCCGTGGGCCCCGCGCGGGCCGGGCCACAACACATGGCGGTGGGCACCTGGTCGCATGCAGATGCACACACACTTAAAGGACCACTCTAGGCACCCAGACCACTTCAGCTTAATGAAGTGGTCTGGGTGCCAGTTTCAGAGAAACTGCTATGTTTATGAATGGGTTGAGCCTTCCCCTATTTCCTCTAGCGGCTGTCTCATTGACAGCCGCTAGAGGCGCTTGCGTGCTTCTCACTGTGTTTTTCAGTGAGAGCACGCCAGCGTCCATAGGAAAGCATTATGAATGCTTTCCTATGTGACCGGCTGAATGCGCGCGCAGCTCTTGCCGCGCGTGCGCATACAGCCGACGGGGAGGAGAGCTCTCCGCCCAGCGCTGGAAAAAGGTAAGTTTTACCCCTTTTCCCCTTTCCAGAGCTGGGCGGGAGGGGGTCCCTGAGGGTGGGGGCACCCTTAGGGCACTATAGTGCCAGGAAAACGAGTATGTTTTCCCGGCACTATAGTGGTCCTTTAAAGGACCACTACAGACACCCAGATCACATCAGCTCAATTAAGTTGTCTGGGTGTCAGGTCCCTCTAGTTTTAACCCTGCAGCTGAAAACATAGCAGTTTCAGAGAAACTGCTATGTTTCACTGAGGGTTAATCCAGCCTCTAGTGACTGTCTCACTGACAGCCGCTAGAGGAGCACACTGAACGTCCATAGGAAAGCATTACTCGGTTTGAATGCGTGCATGGTCGCATTTGGAGCTGAGAGGCTGAGGTATCCCCAGCGCCAAGGGAGTCCGGCGCTGGAGAAAGGCAAGTGCTGAAGACACACACACACACTTACAGACGCATACACACTAGCTAACAGACACACACATTTACTGACAGAGACACAGCGACAGACAGACATACACACTCACTTACAAAACATACACTCTCATTGACAAACACACTCACTAACAGACATCAAACAGACTCACTAACACACACTCAGTAAGACACACACAGTAACACACTCACTGACACTCACTAGCAGACACACACTAACACTCACACTCACTAGCAGACTCACAGACACTCACACACACTAACACTCACACACACTAACACTCACACACACTAACACTCACACACACTAACACTCACACACACTAACACTCACTAACACTCACTCTCACTAACACTCACTCTAACACTAACACTAGTTTTTTTTTAATTTAATCCCCCCCAGCCTCCTTACCTTTTGGAGTGCTGGGGGGGATTCCCTGGGGTCCAGGCGGGTGGCCGGTCGGGCAGGCGGGCACGCGAGGGAGCATTCAGTGCTTCCTCTTCAGCTCTCTTGCGCGCCGCATAGGGATGCCGGCGCCGGAAGATGAGGTGGTGCGCGAGGGAGCTGAAGAGGAAGCACTGAGTGCTCCCTCGCGCTCCCGCCTGCCCGACCGGCCACCCGCCTTCCGCGTGGCAGGGCCAGCCTCGGGGGGCCCTGAGGTGGTCGGCTCCTGGGCCCCCCAGGAGAAGAGGCTGGCCCTGTGGGTACATACCGGGTCGCAGGGGCGGCCGGGCCTGCGACCCTGGTATGTACGCCACTGCCTCTGCGTCTCTGTGTTCTACAGCCCCTGTAGGTGTCTCTCTCCCAAGCCCTGATCTGTCTCTTTTTCCCCTTCCACAGCCCCTCTATGCAGTATTAATTTGGTGGCAAATTTTAAATAAGTTTTAGTCGGATTTTAGTCATCTGAATTGTTTTAGTTTTAGTTGATTAAATCTCAAAAATGTTAGTCGACAAAAGTAACACTGATTACTAGATAAATTTCATTGGGTTCCTGAAGCATATTCTTGCCTGGCAGGCGGGGCGTGTTGACACAATGACCCAGCATATGTTGATCTAATAATACTTTTTCTGTGCAGATCTGAGTAACTCTGTAAATATAGAACTCTACCGTGATATCAAAAGGTTACATAGAAAGCACATTAATAGAGTTATGTAATAAATTGGGAATCGCAAAGGAAGTGCATATTTTAGGTAGAAATGCCAGAACAAGAAAAATATGAAATGTTAGCTGTTTTTGGCATTTATTTTACAATTTAGACCTGTTCCTGAACTATGAGGTATGTTATATGGGGGTTCCACTTGTGACAACAGGAGTGACTCAGTGAATAACAATTAGCAAATGAGTTTGAATTAGTGCTTTTCATTTATAAATATTCTGGATTCTATACATCGACTGTAAACCAGAATCTGAATGTTTTAGTAAATCCGAGAATTGCCTTTCTGATAGGAATTCAGTATTTATTTATTTATATTATTATTATTATTTTTATTTTTTTTTATTGAATTCTGTTAACCAGACAAAATTTGGGATTTAGTGAATATCCCCTAATGTAGATGGCTGGTTATGTTAACAATTAGCATTGGATGCCAGGAGATCTGGTGAGAGCAGATGACTCTTTTATTGAAATTGTTTTAGGACCGTGAAAACACAGAGCATAATACAACTGGGGTCTTTAGGAATAGATCTCTTTTTGAAAAATGAATTGGCTGAAACAAGGGTCCGTTTGAACACAAGGTGGCTTGAACCAGTGATAACTGGCCTAGCATATTCCCACCCACGTAGTGACCTGGAAGTGTATTGAGAAGAATTCTTGACGTTCTACTCGCTGATACTTGAACTTTTCCGAACTTATTTGTAATCTAAACTCAACTGGATCCTTCCAGTAAAACCAGTTAGACAAGCTAATAGAGGCCATGCTATAAGGAGTTAGAGCATACCAAATATGAAACGGAGCATACAACTTCCATTTACCAATGCTGCCAGGGTTTCCTCTTGTAGCAATGGTGGCTATTCTGCTGAAATCTCCAAACTGGCAGGAAAGCTTGACCTTGCCAAACAAGCAACATTAAGCAATCAAGTCCACTTCAATGCTGACAACAGATATAGTAAAAAAAATAATAATAAAATAAAATAAAAAATCTTTATTTTTATTGATTTTAAATTGTCCATAAATTGTGTCCCCCAACAATAACAGCCACAGTGAGCAATGGAAAAGATCACAAGTTTATAAATAGCATCGCTATAACATGTTTAATGTGGTTCCTCATCGTTTATGATTTAAAATGTATAGTGATATAGTTGCTGATGCTGGGCTACAATATTATGAGCAACCTTTATGCTCTATTTTTACTTCTTGGGATTCCATCTGTCAAGATTAAGGATAACACTCCTGCAGTGATTTACAATATTTTAAGACAATTCCAGATATTACTCACCAAAACAACTTTAGCTTGTCCCTGCAGGCTTTTTAGCGTAAACGCTGCCTTTTCAGAGCAATAACAATGTTTACATTGCAGCATAGGAACACCTCCAAAGGCCACTCCTCAAATGGCCACCAGAGGTGTTTTTCTGGCCTCCATGCAGCGGGTGGAGACACTGACATTCAGTGTCTCCACCCGCTGCATGGAGACACTGAACGCTATCCATAGATATACGTTAATTTATTGCATCTCTATGAGGAGATGCTGACTGGCGAGGGCAGTGTTTGGCACCGCCCTCACCCCACCTTGCTTGAGATCATCGGAATTGACAATGTCAGCCAATGCAATGCATTCATATTGGAAAGCATTGTGATTGGCCGAGATGATCAATTCTGAAGATGTCTACCAAGGAGGCGGATCAGGGGCAGGTAAGTGCCGGTGGACCCAGGCAGCTCTGGAAAAAGGGAAAACATTTTTTTTAAATGTTTCTTTTTATTTAAGGGGGGCAAGGGACTATACATGTGTGTTTAATACTATAGGGTCAGGAATACACATTTGTGTCCCTGACCTTTGTGTTCCTTTACTGAAGCAGTTTTGATATACAGATCATGCCCCTGCAGTCTTGATGCTCCGTTATCTGCTATTAATGAGTTAAATCACTTTGCTTATGCTGCCCTAATCACACCTCCCTGCATGTGACTTGCACAGCCTTCCTAAACACTTCCTGTAAAGGGTCATCTAATGTTTACACTTCCTTTATTGCACATTGTGTTTAATTTAGAATTTCTTTTCTTCTCCACTTTTAATTGCTTTCTTGAGTTTCTTGGAAACCTGTTTGTCATTAAAGTTCAAGATCAGGAGATAATAACTTCTAAAGCAAATTCAAGATATTTGGGCTTCGCTGCTCAATGGTATTAATTTAAATAAGCGAAGCAGGACCATGGAATAAGATGAGCATGATCTCCTGAGTTAATTTGCTTCTTTGCAGTTTTAAAATGCCCAGTTAATATATTGTTCTCTGTGCTTCTCCTTTCAAAGCAAAAATATGGGAACTCTGTGTTCTCTGTAAATATAGGGAACTGAGATGGTTCCCATTCGATTTCCTCTGCACAAGAGCCCTGAGCAGAATCTTGAACGGACATGTTGAAGATCATAATAATTAGGTTTATTTTGTGAGAAGTCTTTGTAATAGATTTTGCTGTTTTAATTGTAGTTATTTTCCCCTCCTTTAAGCAGGTCGGCAGCATGATGTGGGCAGTGTGTATGTTATTGCTTCAGGCCATTACAGCCACCATTGGGAATATCCTGGACCCTCAGAAACTCCCTGAAATTAATAAATCAGGAGAAGGTGAGGACACCTTTACATTTTAATATTTTATACATTTGTGTTTGGAAGTTGGGTTTTTTTTTTATGTTCACCTTACCTTGTATTCCATTACTTTGACACAAAAGTACAAATAAATAATTGTACCTTTCCCTTGCCCACATCTACAGTTCTGTTCAGATAAAAGTGATGCTGACCTCCAGTGCTGAAATATATTTGTAGGTGCTCTTGTCTATGTTTACCATTGTCTTCATAACTCCCAAATGTGACCGGCTTCATACAAGGAAACATGTCCCAACATAAATGGCATAAACTGGGACAGAGGTTGAGTGGCCTAAACAGGGCCGGTGCAAGGATTTTTGCTGCCCTAGGCAACAATCAATTTTTCTGCCCCCCCCCCCATAAATGTACTACATTCCATCAGCGGTTTATTCACTAAACTCTGAATTGCAGTGAAGAGACACTTATTGAAAGAGACACAATGAGTAGACGTTAAAGGGAAACTATAGTGCCAGGAAAACAAACTTGGTTTCCTGGCATTATAGCTTCCCCCTCTGCCAAGCGCACCTACCTCGTGGTGCAAAGGGGTTAAAAAAAAAACAACCTTCCATCACTGATGTCCCTCGGCACTGGCTCGGTTCACCTTCACTCCTCAATGGCCGCATTAGGATTTCTCCATAGGAAAGTATTATACAATGCTTTCCTGTGGAGTTTTGCATGACGCTGGATGTCCCCATGAATAGCCACTAGAGGTGGAGTTAACCCTGAATGGTAATCATTGCAGTTTTGTTAAAAACTACAATAATTATTTTTGCAGGGCTAAGGGCCCTGGCACAGTGCATCCAGATCACTTCAATCAGCCAAAGTGGTCTGGGTGCCTATAGTGTCCCTTTAAGTGAAAGCAGACGCACAGTGAAAAAGAACGGAAACAGCCTGGGGAGACATTTAGGTAAAGCATAGAAAAACTGTTGAGATATTTAGAAAACAGAGACTGGGAGACATTTACGAGAGACACATAGTAAGCAAAAGAGACATACTCTCACTAACACTCTCACTGACATACACAGTGTCCCTTAGACACAGTCTCACTAACACACATACACACAGTCTCACGAACACACACACACAGTCTCACTAACACACAGTGTCCCTTACACATTTTCACGAACACACACACTGTCACTTGCACGCTCTCACAAACACACACTGTCACTCAAACACAAACTCACACAACTTTACATGAAGTCACACTTTATTTACACAAAGAAATACAGCAATTTAACACACACACCAATTTACAACCATGCACACAATAAACAATCCCCCTTAGCATCCAGTTATGCCATACCTGGGTGCTGTAAAGAGGAGAAGCGATCCAGGCTGCAGGAAGTTGTTCTTTCTGCTGGGGGAGCAGGAGAGCCATGCACTTTGAGCACAGGCTGCTTCCTGTTCCCCTCAGAAAGGGTCCGATGTTCACAGGCAGGGGTCAGCCGGGATACCAGGTCTTATCCCGGCTTGCCCCGCCTGCAGGAAGCAGAGTGCTCTGCTCAGGTTCTGGGGTTACAGCACACCCCTCTCCCTGAGCAGGCAAGCCGCAGCAGAGGGAGCCCAGCAGGTGAGTGGCTGCGCTGGGGGTGGCTAAGGAGCCGATCGCTCCGCACAGCAGCAGGGCAGCCCAAAAGGAAACCTCACGGTGGGCACCCCCAACAGACCGGTGTCCCAGACGAATTCCTTATTTGCCTTACGGCCTTATGATAGTGCCGGCCCTGGGCCTAAAGGGGCATCCCAGTGGTTCCGCCATCAGGTGGTGACAACCACCACCCGGGCCCCTCGTGGAGCGGTGGAACTACCGCTGGTGCATCTGCACTGGGGTCCACACGCTGATGGGGCCCATCAGGTGGCCCAAGCATTTAGGGCCACCCAATGGGCCCTATTATCTTCAGGGGCCCGATCAGCGCTGTAATAGCACGACCGAAAAAAAAAAAAAATGCAGCCGCAACGCAAGTGCTGCCGGGAGGAATTGACAGCCGGTCACTTCCTCCCAGCTTACTCCACGCGGGAAGGAGGACGCAGCCTGAAGGGCAGCCGTCGCCCATCATCAATGCAAAGGTAAGGAAGAGGAGGGTGGCTGAAAAATGAATTTTATGTATGTATATATGCATGCCTGTATGTCTGTATATGTGTATGTATGTATGCCTGTATGTGTATGCCTGTTACAGTATTTGTATATGTTAGTATGTGTGTATCTTTCTGTGTGTGTCTGTGTCCGTTTGTGTCTGTGTCTGTGTGTATTCCTGTGGGAGGGATTTGGAGGCGGGCCCCCGGGGGCCCAGACCTTGAGCTGTGTTAGGTGCCCCAAAATTTCTGATGGCGGCCCTGCCTGAGACACCCAGGGAAGGGCCATGTCAACCTATGGTGAATGCACCACAAGCTGCCATGCAGCCAACCGGTTGCTACAATCAGGGCAAACCACTCAGAGCGCTGCCTAAGTGCCCTTGTATGTATCAGTTCTCTGGTGTGCCCAAGAGCCAGACACCAGGGAGTTAAATTGAGACCGCAAATTCAGATGCCTGTAATCAAGGCAGTCCTGGTGATTGCCAATTGGGGCAATATGGACATATGGGAATGTGAACTGGTTCTGGAAAATGGGGTGTACAGTGAATGGACAGACCCTCAAAGAAGGCTCATCAGTCTGGCATTTTTATACAGGCCTACTCTTGCTGTTTAGTTATTTTGCACAATAAAAGTTATTCATAATAAAAGAAAAAATGCTCTACTAATATAACTATATCAGCACGAACCAAAGAAAACATGTAATTATAAATATATATATTTATATTCATATTCCCAGGTAAAATATTCTACATTTATATTAGTGATGCTGAATTTACTCTCAACTAAACTTGTTATAATAATCAAATGTGAGGAGACCCCCTGTGTGGAATGAAGGCGGAAAATCCGAGAGGGGTCAAGATCCACAAAAAGTCTCAAATAAGTAATGAATGAAAATGTTGATTCCAAAAAAAGCGTATGTGTTAAAATAAATAAAAAGGATTTAAATATATAGTAAAAATGGAGGAGAGCAACATTTGCAGAGCTCTAAGTTAAAGCGGCACTGTCATGCCGAACTTACCTTTCTTTAATCGATTACTCTTCTTTCCCTCTGCCAGGATCTGTTCTTCATTTCTTCCTGTCTGCTCTAGTTTTCTTTAAAACATAAGATAAAGTAGGCACTATTTGTCTTATGGAGGTTTCCTACGCTTGACCATCAATGACCAGTGGAGGAGCAAAGTGTGCTTCATTTCTGGTGATCAGAGAAATTTTCCCACAATTCTTAGCTTTCCTCCCTGTTCCCGCAATGCTTTCTATCACTTTTCCCGAACGTCCTTTCACTTAGACAGAACCCCATCAAAACTACTGATTTGCATCCCAACAGAATGAGAACAGTTTGTTCATTCATGTTAGGACGCAATTCGGACTTTGTTCGGATCAGAATTTCATTCGAATGAATGAAACTTCGATCCTATTTGTGCCGCGGATGCATCTTGCAGACCCTTAGTAGATAACTCCCTAATTCCCACGGCATTAGGGAGCTATCTACCAAAAGGCTGAAAAACCTAAATTTGTCTTTCAGATAAATTTATTAATACTAAGTAAAGATTACTTAGTATTAGTAAATTATGTCCCTACTCGCTATACTGCGAGTAGGGGCATGTCAATTAAACAGTGAGCACCTTAGTGTCCACCCTCCCGAGCCCCTACCCGTGTTACGCGAGAGGGGGCTATTAAACTGAACCTATTAAACCTAGGGGGCCATTAAACCTAGAGTTCCCCACCCCTGAGCGGTGGGTGGGGGCCATTAATAACAATAAGGGGTGGACCTATTGTCCTCCCCCACTCGGACCCCACCCCTGACAGCACAATAAAGTAAAATAAATTAAAGACAAAAAAGAAAATTAATCGAAGAAGTGACACAGAATACAAATAAAATGTGCAAACAATAAGGCTACTGCTATAAACTAAGTAAACCGGAAGAGTTATTACAATTATACTTTCCCAGATAAACATTCCATTCTGTATAAATAGAGTACAAAATAATGTGTATTGTAAAGGCAAACATTGGAAGCATTAGAAGTGGCCTGTGCATTCTCACGAGTTTCAATTAGCAAGAATGCCAAATTCTAAGCCAGGCTCCACAATACATAGTCCTTCGCCATCTCGCACACGCTGAGCTAGAAATCTCTCTCTCTGAAAGGTTCCCCACGAAGGGAGATGGAGCTAAACTCAATATATGCACTTAGCTGATTCAGTAAGACCTCGAGGGAGAGCGATGGATCTTGGCAGGTTAGATACACACTGCCAGGCTTAACCTAAAAGAATTGCAATTGTAATACAGTTGGGTTAGTATCGCCAATCTTAAATCCAGCTTCTTTATTCATAGAATGGATTTCCATTTTTACTCTTTTTGAAAAGAAGTAGAAATGGTGATTTGTAACAGGACAAGAGGTGGACAAAGATCAATAGGAAAAACAAAGCCACAATATTTACCCAGAGATTAAAAAAACAAAACAAAAAAAACCCACTGGGGCACCAATTACAATTGCTTCTTTGAATACAATGAAAACGTTTTGTAACCAAAATGTGTCTCATAATTTTGTAACCAGAGATTCCCATGTCATTGACTTCCCAAAAGGGAAATTTTTCAAAGTAAAATTCAAAGTAAATCTAAATTTTAAAGCTTAATGTAGTTTGTTTTGTTGCGTATAAATATTCCCTGCAGACATTTTCATATAAACTGTCTTTTCTGAGAGAAGGTGCTGAACTTGCCTTGATACAATGAATATCTATGAGGAGGAGCTGATTGGCCAAGCTAGTGCTTGGCCCCTACCCCACCCTCACCCCGCCTCCTTGCTGATTTCGGCCAATCCAATGCTCTCCCCATTGAAAAGCATTGGATTGGCTGAAATCATAAATTCTGATTCTGATAAGGAGTTTGGCTAATAGTAGTTAATTAATTATTTGTGTGCATGTATGTGGGGGTAGTTTTATGGAAATAAAGTCTACTATGGCGGTGTTGGGTGTGTGTGGTGAGGTTAAGCCAATAAAGTCTCAAATTAAATTATAGACCTTTCATTTTCAAATATCAGCAGAATAACCATTTTATACATTACCTCCTTGTGAATTATACAAGTTGATCATGGTAGAGTCATGTATTGATAAGTGCTATCTCACTTAAAATCGTAACTTTTATTTTGTGTTGTGACCAAGGGTGTATCAATTACATTTGAATCATTTTTCCTTTAATAGTGTTTTTAGACGAGGGGTCTGCAAATAAATATTTGACGCGTAAACGACGCTATAACAGTTGGGATTTCGAGATGTTTACAAAGGGTAATCTGGAGAGGGAATGTACCGAAGAAGTATGCAATTATGAAGAAGTTCGAGAGATCTTCGAGAATGACCAGGAAGCAGTAAGTTCATGCATAAACTATCTAGGTTTTGGTTGTTTTATTATTTTCTAATACCACCAGATAGAACTGCAGTAATGTATGTTCTACTTAGAACGTGCAATCTAGTTAAATGGACGGTCCAGGCTGGACGTGACCCATTTTTAAACATATATTTAAAATTGTATGTAAAAACAATAAATTAAAAATAATACAATTCACACATTTAAAGTTCCTCCAGACTTTGCAACTTCTATTGTGAAATCTGCCCAGACCAGGAAGTTACTCGCCCAATCACGATGCTCCCTTTGGTTTTTATGACCGTGCTAAGCTTGTCCTTTATGTATTGGAAAAGCAGTGCTTTATGGGCACAGAACGAGATTCTACAAGTTCTATCTCAGTTGTTCACTTTCTACTGTAGAAGGGATAGTTGAGCTGTTGGTAATGACTTCATGTACAAAAAGGAAAAAGAGGATGCATAGCCGGCTGGGAG